AATTGGTTTGCTTTCTATTGGTTTCACTTCGTCCAGCGCGATCGCAGCAGAACTATATGCGTGTTATACCTTTGGGTGGTTCGTTCGCAATAATTACCACCAAACTTTAAAAAACGTGAACCATATGTATAATGATGATTATATCATATATTATATATATATTTATATATATTTTTTTTTATATATATAAATTATCAAGCATATATATATTTAATTCAATACTTAGTCACACACCGCACAGCACATTCCATTAATTATATGGCTTACATTATCATATATTTCTAATTCAACCATATATTATTCCGACAATATATTATTAAATATTTATGACATTTATTTGACATAAATATATTTATTGAATAATTACTATATATAATATTAGCCCAGCAGCGGTGTGCTAGCAAGCACTAATAGGCTGCATGGTTAGCAGTAATGTGAAGACATTCGGTACCATTATAGCGTGTATATATGAGGTTAGTTAGAGCTCCCAGATGATCAACTGTCAGTATACAACCTGTGTCGTTAGCGGATATATCGAGCCAGCCATTCAACTTTTTTTTTCATTTAGATATACGTATTCAATAGTTTTCATGCGTCGAGGAGTGTGATAGACCCGATATACGTTATGTCCGTAGTTGTCTGTATATCAGAGGTTGCCTGGGTGTATAGTGAAAACATTGTATGAACTTCATGTCTCTCTCACGTAAATCGTATTCAGGATTAGACAAAAAGAAACATAGCGTATGCAATATTTTTTGTCGACGTAACGTAACCCGATGTTATGTTTACGAACGAACTGGGTTCAGTATATCAAGAGCACGCAAACTTCACATGGTTCACACACACGTGCGCACGCACGCACGCACGCACGCATGCATACACGCTCGCACGCACGCAAACACAAGAGAGAGAGAGAGAGAGAGAGAGCGGGCACACACACGCACACACGCACGCACGCAAAACGCGCACGACGCACGCCACGCACGGCACGCTCCGTGGGCCAGAAAAAAGGGCAACTCAAAATTTTTAGGGGGGGGGTGTCGCACCCCCTGCACCCCCCCCCTGGATCCGCCCCTGCATGCGTTGTTGGGACGTGTAGGATATCGTCCGTAGTTCTTGTCTTTCACGTTAAACTTCTTTTTTCGCTGGATGAGTGGCCGGGGCGTTGTTGGGATGTGCAGGATATCGTCCGTAGTTCTTGTTTTCACGTTATTAAATTTATTTTTTCTCTTGAAAAGTGAACGTGGGTGACGTGTAGGATATTGTCCATGGAGTAATCGTCGCACATAGATGTTTATTAGTAATGCGCGCTCGTTCGTTCGCTGTATACACTGCTGGCTCGTTTGGTCACTGAACTGCTTTCTAGCGTTTCTGATATAACACACCCGCACCTGCCTTGGGAATCTGAGTGATGAGACCTATCAACATAGATGACGCATCGTTCGTCGGTTTTACCTAAAAGCTTGCCAGGGGTTGGTCGATGCAGGGCGCTCATGTAGAAATAAAATAATAAATGACGTTCGATTAAAGATGGCCCAATCGAATGTGATAGCGGGGAGGAACAGACTGTAGAACATGTCCTGGAATACCCCCTATTACCAGAGCTCTGTAGACCTGGAGACCTTGAGGCTTTCAACCACCGTGTCGGGTCCTGTGTGCTGCAGTGGCTAGGTCGAGTGTAGTGTAGTGAAGACCAAAAAGCATTATATGTATATATATACATATATATATATATATATATAATAATATATATATTATATATATTATATATAATATATATATAAATCTTTTATATTCTATCGTATCTAT